CGCGCCGGGCCGTGCGGGTCCTGCTGCGGCCGCCCAGCTTCAAAGTGGAAAGTATTAAGTTAAAGTTAAAATGAAATTAAGTCAAACTCCTCTTTTTTTTTTGGTCAGCTCTGAGCAGTATCCGCTGTTCTGCAGTCAAAATGAGGCCAGGGTAGGAGCGCCCATCGCTGCTCCACTCCACCATGGCCCTGGCAGCTGCTGTGCTGGTGAGAAACAGCGTGGCCAGTTTCTCAACCGTAACTGCCGTGGTTATTAAAGGGTAATTGGTTTGTGCTGAATCAGGGAGTCTCTGCTCCAGCGAAACTCCCTGGTGGCTCCTGCTCATCGACACAGTTTCCCCCCTGGCACGAGCAGCCGAGACAGGGACAGGCACCGCGAACGCGTCTGACCCCGTTCCAGGACACGCACGAGGCCCGTGGGCCTCTGGCTGTGCCTCTTCCAAGGAACTCCCTTCCCACTGCCTTTAATCTGCAAAACAGCCCAGCACCGCCAGCCACGCTGGCCTTTTAAGACAGATATTGAAGTAAAAACACAGCCTCTGAGGAGGAGGAAGATGAAGAGCGCTGGGGTTGAACCTCGGCTCAGCACCTGCTAATACAGGTGTGCACATGAAACAGGAGCTGCACACAGAGCTGCAGACTCGTCCTCGGGGCTCGCGCTGCCCTCCCAGGGGGTCAAGGCTGAGACCTGACACCAACACAAACTGCTGTGTGAAAGGGGTCCTATGACCAAGAGCAGCCACCAAGCAGCTCGTGATACTGAGGTTCAGCCTCCCCAGAGCATCTGTCTCCACATAATTTTCCCCAAAACATTAATAAAATAGCACTCAGGAGCCCAAGCTGTTGGAAAAGGCTTTTTATTCTTTAGCCTTTGCTTCTTTCCCTCCCACCCCCCAAAAGAAACTCAAATGTTAATTATCAAATCAAATGCACATAAAATGACATATCTGAAGGAAGCTAGATACCAAACGCAGTGCTGCTCAGCACCTTCCACCAAGGAACAGGCTTTCCAGCACTCTAAACTGGCACTTTTGCATAGAGGCTAAAGCAGATTTGGTACCTGGATATCCTGGCAGGAGGCTCCCCTGGTAGGGCCTGGAAATGATGGGACGCGTTACTGGTCCTGTTTGGAGCACGACGGCCACAGGACTGAAAGGTTCACGGGGCATCTGTAGCTTGTTTCCACTGAAAGATCTCATGTGCAAAGGAAAAGACAAGGAACTACAGCCAGGAAAACAGATGTTGGCAAGGGAACCAGAGAGAGCTGCAGTATGGCCCTGGTGGGAGCATCAGACACCATGTACTGATATTACAGCATAATTTTAATAGGCTATAACACTGCATGGCAAAAACATCTCAGGACAGCATCACTGCACGAGGCTGGGGTGTCAGCCACAACACTCGGGGCTTTCTGTGACCTCTGGTTGACAAAACAGTGAACAAAGCCCACAGTTTCCTGCTCTCAATATCCAGAAGGTTGATTCTTGGGGTTGAGTTTTACACCTGACTTATTTTCCCCACACAAGGATCTGATCTGATGCCTGTTGGTACAGCTGAATAGCAGAGGCTCAGGGCACCACCACTGATCTGATCAGCTTATTCTGCCCTGTCTGACCTCAGTGATCCTCCAACTGCTCAGACTGGCCTGGCACAGTTGTTTGTGAAGAGAGGGCTGTTTTCTAAGTGTCCACAGGACAGACAGAGATGCTAGGTCTAGTCAAAGAAAGCTCGTGGTCCGTGAGATCAGAAAGCTGGAGAACCAGTGGCTTCAAGAACCAAGTAGTACAGATTCCAGTCCAGAAATGCCCTGCCAGGCTGTACACACTGCTTGATTGCAGTAGATTTGCTTTTACAAATGAGCCACCTCCAAGTATAAAAGTTGGTTATCACAGTCTCTGTTTTCCGTAATATTCCATTAATCAAGAAAGCAAATCCTGAATAAATCTCTCCCCTTCACCCCACATCATTTCTGCACTTGACAGCAGTTTCAGTCATTAACATCAACTGGTAGCTTGAAATCCTTGAGCGAATAAAAGGCAATTTCTCCATAGTCCACCAGCGCAAAGACCACCGGGACGTCCCCGCTCTGGTACGTGACCTGCTTCAAAGCTCGGAGGGATGGAATCTCTTCATCAAAGCTGTAGAGGGGGAAAAAACAGTTCTCAAAGCAAGGAAGAAAACAAAGCCAGGTGTCCAGGGAAGTTTGGATTAGCAGGGACAGAACAACAGCTAGACAATTCCCAGCAATGAGTCAGGCTTCATCCAGCTGGGCATCCCTGAAAAATCAGTGATCACCACAAGCACCTTCTGGTCTCAGGAGCTGGTAGTGACCCTCCCCACACCTCTCAATCAGAGCAGCAGCAGGAGAGCACTGCGTGCCAAGAACCAGGAGCTGTCAAATCCCCCACAGAAAACAAGGGCAATTGCACAGTGCTCCATGCTGGGCCTATTAGACACAGCTCCCAGGGCTACTGGCAAGTCACCAACTCAACACACCAAATGCTTCTGTGCTAGGAAGCTCTTTAGTTTGCTGGCATCTCCCTTCCTGTTAGTTCTGCAGAGTATGATCACTGTTAAATGAAAATATTTGCCCAGTAAGAATCATCCTATTTACTCATAACATAGACCTTTGTAAAAGTGCATTACCACCTTCCTTCCTCTGTCTCTGTTGGAATTGAAGAGAGTTGAGAAGAGACAGTTTTAGTATACTGAAATTAGAAAAGGCAGGAACCAAACTTTGCACCTGCCTATGGAATTTAAGTATCAGATTCTGGATCTGGCAAGAAAGCAGATCTCTGTTTCTGCATAACCCCAAATTGCATGAGACAAAGATCAGAATACTAAACCTGTGGCCCTGAGCCTGTAGTCACCTCTAGGCAGGCCCCTCTCTGCATAAACGCACAGGGATGTGCACTGGCTGAGGACTCACATACCATACGGAGCTGCAAACCCAGTCTCTGTGCCCGAAGCTCTGTGCAAGTCTCTCAGACACTGCACAAAAACAGCCGTGGCTGCTCCATGTTCCTCACTCCAGCAATACCCACATGAGCAGCTGCCCGAGGACCAAGCTGCAGTGTGGTGAGTGCTAGGGCTGGGGGAATCCTCAGGACAAAGGAAGAACAGAAAGGAAAGGAAACATTTGGGCAGGACCACCCTAAAGGCAGGCACCCTGCTGACCTGTAAAGCCTACAAGATCCTGGGCCATTTACAGACCATTAGGACTTCATTTCCACAACAGCAATGGGAATGTTTGAACAGAAACCCTAAGGTGTCATGGATACCTCCGTACACACATCCTGACATAGGGCTTTCCAGGGTTCGTCTTCTTAAACTTGGCCACGGCATCTGCTTGATACACGTTGAAGTCTATCGTGATGCCCTCTGTGTCCTCCTGCAGCCTGCAGGAGAGAGAATACATCTGTGTGGGATTGATATGGCATTGGGTATAGATACAGCAGCGAAAGGAGGGAGGAAAAGCTCTTGAAGTCTGTCTGGTCTTTTAAAAAAAACTTCATTCCCCAGATGACTGATGACAAATGACTGATCCTGTAAGTTTCTGATTCCTTCCTAGACCTTTCCCCATATCTCAGAGTTACACCAAACTCCTTCCCCACATCTGCAATGTGCTTCCTCTCCTGCATTCCTTGCAAAAGCACCACCAGGAGATACAGGAGCAGAGCCCTGCACAGCAGGGGCAGCAGGACATTGCAGGGATGAGGCAGAGATGCGACACAACCAACCTCTGGACAAGATTCCCTGGCAAGTGAGCAGACAGGGAACACCAGCAGAAGAGAGCAACCCCCAAAGATACAGTCAGCCTGCGCTGCCTTGGCTCCCTGAGCCAGTGCCTCATGGAAACATCCATGTTAAAGATGAGGGTTATGGATCAGAGCACTGGGTTCTCTTGGCATCCTGGACACTGGGCAGCTCCCACGCTGCTGCTGAGAACATCACACAGACCTCCCAGGCAGGGACCGTCACAAGACGTCCCCTCTCCCCAACAGCTCTGAGCTGGCAGGCAGGACACTAACCGGGAGGCTCCATCCAGGATGTGGGAGGGCTGTAGCACACTGATCTGCTGGAGCACTGCAGCTGGAGGGAGAAGGAAAGGAAAGGATCAGACCAGCAACCGCTCACCAGGGCACCCACCACCACCCACACGTCTGCCTCCTCCGACAATGGCTGGCAGCACCACAGTCGCCCGTGGCTACTTCAAAGGCCTCAGTTTCCTGCCACCTCCTCCCAGCTCGCAGCACACAACACCCCGCAGCTGCTCTGCGTCTTGCCTGCCCTGGTTTCAAATGCCTGGCAGGAGGGATTGCAGTGCAGCAGGACATGGGGAACGGATTAGAGGACCTCCCAAAGTCCTGGTTATCCTGGCACTTGAACAGGGTATAGAAACAACAAAACAAAACGGAAGGCACCAAGACAAGCCTTCTTCCCTCTCCCTGTGTCCATGTCTGGGCTCCTCTGTTTTTGGTTTGCCCAGGCCTTCAAATAAGATTTTTCTTGCTTAAGCAACTCTCCCCTAAACTGATGTTCAGCACTTCCACACCATCCCTCTTGCTGCTTTCAAAGAGATCTTTCTGTGCACTGCTGTTTCAGGGAGCGAAGGGGTCCTCCCCACACTCCTTCCCCCCAGAGCCAGTACCTGAGGAGGTGGCTTTATCTGGCCGCAGGAGTGGAGTGACAGCTTGGTCCCAGAGATGCGGCAGTCGGCTCCAAACCTTGTGCTGCCTCCTCTGCTCCAGGAGAGCTTTGTACTCCTGCCAGTTGGAGCAGCCCCTCACCTCCCTGTCCGCGTTGACGCTGCTCTTGTACCTGCTCTCCCTCTCCAGCTGCTCCCTTTCCTTTCGTGACAGCTTCTCATGCTTCTGATTGATGCGTGTGCACCAGGAAGCGGCATCAACCTCCCTCCCAGGCACGTTCTCTGGCAGGAGCTCCTTGTCGGGTGAGGGGAGGCGCGTGCACAGCTGGTCTGGGGCCACATTTGGCAACATGATGGTGGTAAAATCCCAGCGGGGTGCGCGGGTGCCAGGGCTGCCCCTCCTGTGCTCCCCAGCCCGACTCCTGGAGGGGCTCAGAGAATCCTTCTCTTGCCCTGTGTCAGGAGAAACTGGGACCAGCTCTGCCCCTCCACTGTCAGCCCCTGACTCCTTTGGCTGCTCTAACGAAGGGGTCTCATCCATGGGGAGGCAGCTGGAGTCTCCACAGCCCTCACCAGCCATTTCAGAGGTCCCCTCAGCTTCTGGAAGGCCCTCAGATACCTTGTGTTTCTTCTCTTGTGACCTAAACAGAAGCAGCAGCATAAAAAGAGAGGAAAAGATCAAATTAATTTTACTCCCCTCTTCACTGTTAAGATGAAGATTCTTAAACCAGATTAAGTCTTAGTTCTCATCTCCCAGCTCCTGAACTCCTCCCTACCTCCTTGGGCACCAACTTAGCTGGGAGCAGAAGGGACCTGCAGTTCAGCCTCTCCCTGTTTCTTAAAGGATGATGCCACCTACTGGAAACCGTCACCATGATTAGCAAAATTAAGTTGTCTCAGCAGCTATTTGCATTTTGGCAGCTTCTAGTGGCTGTGTGCAGGGACCAGGACCCCCCTGTGCTCTCTGCTGCGCAGTCCTAGCACATAAGCAGCATCCAGGAGGTGGACAGCAGAAGGATGGGCCCTGCAGCATCTGCACTGCCT